AATAGAATATATATGCTTAAACCTTTCAAAATCTATAAATTTTTACTTTAACAATTTATTTTTAGTAAAATGCTCGTAGAATAACGAACAATTGAAAATTTTAATTTAAAATATATATAATATTTGATTGTTATATATTGAAACATATTTATTAGGTGATATTATAGAATTGTATGTATACCGATATTAGCTGATATTTTAGAATTTTAGATAAATGATGATATAAATTGAAATATTAGCTGATATTTTAGAATTTTAGATAAATGATGATATAAATTGAACTGAATTATGCGTGTATATGCATATTGTTGTGTTATTAATGAACCATCATGTTCATATTAATCTTATATAAAAATTTATTTTAACATTATAAAAATCTAAATAATATAAGAAAATTTTATTATCAATATTTAATATTAAAAAATAAAAACGAGTATAAATAACAAGTAAAAGTGAGTAATGATATAAAAAATTGAACGAATACAATTAATGAATATAATTAACGCGCTACGCATGTCATAATAAAAAAAAATTATAATATCAAAATTCAAGCATCACAATTAGTTTGTTTTTTCTATTCACTGAAAGGTTCAATGGCTGAATAACATCGAGAACTATTAATGAAAAACAAACAAACCACACATCACACATGGTTGGTGCATTACAATAAAGTTATTTATCTTTTTAACAGTGAAAGAAATTGTTTAAATTATTTTGAATGATATGATATCTTTTCATTTGAAATCTGATTCAAATCATATGTAAGTTTTTAAATATTTTTATTTGATTTAGATGATAAATAATTTTTTTGGATATTTTATATCGTAATTATTTTTTAAGAATTTGTTACATTTGATACAAATAGATGAGTTTCAACCTTTTGGTATCAGAATAGATTTGATTAATAGACTCAATAGTACAAGATTTACATCAATAAATTAAGATCATAAATCTCGAACTAAATAAAATCAAGATAATATTTATTACCCAACCATCACAAAAAAGAGAAAAAAAAATCAAATATAGTGAGAAAATAAAAATAAGAAAAGGAAAAAATAGATTGATTTATAGAAAAAGCAGATTTGAGTTCATTAAAGATGAATAAAGCAGTAGAAGATAGCCGCCTTAATAATAACATTCCCAAATTAAATTTAGGGTTAAAAAATCACTAAAAAAATGTTAATATAATTCTACATATGGTGGGCGAGATTATAATAAATTAAGATATTTAAACATTTATTTTTATTCAAAATCAATCTTATCACATTAATTTTTTTTGGACTTTTTCAAATTATCAACCTTTTATCATGATATTAGAAAAAAAAAAAAATCATACATAGTGGAGCTTCATCAATACAAAAGAAAATGAAATGAAATGGATAAAAAGAGAGTATTCCTTGATTGGCTTGTTGTTTGACAAAGAATAGTTGTATAAAGATTAAAGAATCACTTAAATAATAATAATAATAATAATAATAATAATAATAATAATGGAAGAGCAATTACTTAAAAATTGACAACCATTGATTTATATCTCAACTCTTTCTTGACAATTGAGCTTGAGAAAAAGCCGCTAAATTATTAATTATGTATCTTTCTTTGATTAAGATTCATTAGTCCTCCATTGACTCTAATTTTTGTGTTTTTTTCTTCAAAGACAACATTGTCATTTTCTTGAAATTACATTAATTTATTCTTTTATATATGCATATTCTACAATTTGATTCTGTTAAGAAAATTCATTGAAAAGAATTCTCATTTGAAGTAAACATTTCAAATTCTATTAATTGGTACATTCCCCTTTATAATTTTCCATCTAGGCAGTGATGCAAATTCACAACTTATATTAGAAATCCATTGTAAGACAGAGAAAAATTTATTCAGACCGAGTTTATAACCTCATTTATGGACCAAACTAATAAAATTAAATATTTTTATTGAAATATGACTAAACGCTTCAAAAAAAAAAAATTGAAACATTCTTTAATGAATTCTTAGTTTTATTTGTTTGGTCCATAAGTAGGATCATGGATTCGGTCTAAATACGTATTTTTTACAAATTAAATAAAAATAAGTCGAATTTAGTTTCAGAGCATCAAATTCGCCACACCAAATTTGCCACCGGGCATTATTTGCAAGAAAAAGAAATTAGGTTCATGAATTAGGTTTCATATTATATGATTTAAGTATCTAAGGAATTTAATTCTAACAGTTCATTGACAACCTCATTACCTCATTATTTCATATTAAAGAATTTAATTATAACAGTTTGTTGCCAACCTCATTCATAATTTCTAACAGAAAATTATTGGTTGTCTGGTTAGTGTTCTCACTAGTGTGAAGAATGTAAGGTTATTAAATTCGAATTCTCTCGATCACAAGAGTTTTTACCGATTGAATAAAAGTCAACGAAAGAGTTAACTTTCTTGTACTCCTGTGTATAAAAAAGAAATTTTTTTTTTTTTTTTTTACCATTTCTAGAGCGAACTAAACATATTTGCTGCTTTAAATACATTCTAAGTCAAGTCTAATTTTAATCATTCTCAGAGAAAAAGTACTGAAGGTGCACTTTGGCAGGCGGCACTAAATTGGCATGATGGCTCAGTTAATGCTCAGCAATAGCATCTCATGCGCTTTATTTTCCTAATTGGCACACCAACAACTTGCTATCCTCATAAGTATTACCACCTCACACCCTTTAATTTTTTTCTCCTTTTCTTTGGAATTTTTTTTCAGAAACAAGATAATATGATTGCATTACCTGAAATGTTAACTCAGTAACATTTTTTTTTTAAATATAGAAAAGGTGTCAAAATGAAAATAATTATTAAAGTTTGAACCGTTAATTACCTACTCATCTTTGCCATAAGATATATAAAGGTGTCAAAATGAAATATAATTATTAAAGTTTGAACCGTTAATTAGCGTACTGCATCTTTGCCATAAGAAGTATATATATATAATATATATATATATATTATATATATATATATTGTAAATATAACCGATTTATTATGGAATAATATATATATATATGTAAAATACTAACCGATTTAATTATGGATAATTCTAAAAGAAAGACTTGCCTACATCCAAAGTAAGAGTCTATCTATATAAAAATAAAATTTTCGGATTTTATTGGAAAAAAAAGATAAAATAGGAACAGTTTTTAGAAATCTCATCATTAATTGATTTGGTGTATAGGTGAACCTATACGTCAGCGTATGCAAGTTTTATCTTGGAATGAATGTTTATTATCCACTTGAGGATAATCTTAGTTTAATTAACTAAATTATTAGACATTTTTTTAAAATTAAATTGATAATATTGACTATTTATTTATTTGTTAATCATTTTGTAATTGTGTTTGGTAAAATTTTAATAGTAGCTGCTATTAAAATGTAAACTAAATATTAAGGATATTAATTATTTATCATATAATATATGATATAATATATATTTCTTGAATTTTTAAGGTCAATATATTATATTTTATTTAATATGTTTTATACATAATAATATCAATTAAATTTTAAAATAATATTTAATAGAAATTTATTATTTTTAAATAACTATAAATAAAATCATAAAAAAATAAATTTGAAAAATAAGCTTATTAATAATTATTTTTATAAAGTTAATTAAGTTTAAATACAAAATAATTACAAATTAACTACCAATTGATACGAAAAAAGTTACAGAACACAACTGATGAAATCATTGTAATTTCTACCAACTATCGGTTGTTAATTAAAATTTTTATCAAACACATACAGTCTAACTGCTAGATACGAATTAACGATAACCTATATAAATCAACTGAACCAAATGCATATTTAGTTCAATTTTTCAATTAAGTCAGTTCCTTTAGAAAAACAAATAAATTATGACACTGGTTATTCTATTTCAATTTTAATTTATTGTCAATAAAAACCAAAATATGTCAATTCGATTCTTTATAATTAGTTTGGTTTTTGAATTTTTAAAATTCGATTTTTCAGCTATGGTAGTTTGGTGTGATTAGATCGAATGCTTGAGTGAGAAATTAACAAAAATAACAAGTGATACTTAGCAAGAACAGATTTGTGAGTATAGATGCAAGTACGAAATAGCAATATTGGTTGAAAATATCTGCAAACGCTCTGATGCTTCAGATCGCTAAGACTATAAAAAATTATGTAGATAATTTGTTTAATTAGCATAAAAAAAATATTAACTTATAATATCTAGAAAAAATTTATTTTATTTAAATAGTAACCCGAGCCAATAGACCTTCACATATACAACCTAATTTGAATAATTTAAGTAAAAAAAAAAAAAACTGCTCAAAACTAAATATAACAGAAATCTAGAACTATTGACTAATATCCATAAAATTATAAAGCCAAAATAGCAGGTTTGCAGGATTCTTTATATGGAGGTATTGGTTGTGCAATTGAACTTACCAAATTCCTGTTGCTATTGTTTGGTGGCTTAGGCTTAAAAAACAGTACATCAAATTTACTTTAAAAGAATCAATAGCTTCTTGTCTTTGATAAATAAGTTTATTTAAAGTTTATATATTAAATCAATAAAGTAATAATCATAAAAGAAAATTATGTATTAAAAAACGGATTTTTAAATGTATATATAAAAAGAAAAATTTATGTATTAAAACCGGAATTTTTTAAATGTATATATATATATATATATATATATATATATTTTTTTTTTTTTTTTTTTGCATTTGAAACATATGATTTTTTCTTTTTTTTTTTCCTGGAAAAAATATCCATAAATCGGATGTTTTTTTTTTGCATTTGAAACATATGATTTTTTCTTTTTTTTTTTCCTGAAAAATATCCATAAATCGATGTTCGTTATTTCTGTTTTATGTTTTTCTATAAATAAAAATTTCACACAACATTATTTTTTGTCCTCAACATTATTTCTGTTTTATGTTTTTCTATAATTATCAATATTACTACGTAATAATACCCCTTGTTTTGTCCTCAACTCGGGATGACTCGGTCACCAAAAAACCCCAACCCAACTCGCCATCTCCAATAAAAGGAAAAACTAAAAAAATACTAATTAAAACCTAAAACAAAGAAAGACTATATTAAAAAAAAATACAAAATTAGTCTGTTACTTAAACTAGCTAACCATGGAGCAACGGCCTTGATTCGCCCAAGAAATCAAGATTATTTCTCATGCCAACGTGGCAGCATCTCTGAATCTCTTCGAGATTCAAGAACCGGCCCGAGTTGGACGATTCAGATTGGGAGACGACTCGTAGAATCTCCTCAAAAAGAGACTCGTCGCAAGGGATCGTTAACGGCCCGATATTTTTGAATCCGTACTCTTCTTCTGCTTGTACGAGCAGTTTCTTGAAGATAGGGTGGTTCAGATACGTAGCGCGCACGATGAACCTCTTGCAACTCGCGCCTACACAGACAGCTACGTGCCCAGATGGAACATCGGACGGGGCGCGTGCAGCCGTCAGTCTCGCCTTCCTACGCCAGCGCCTTAGCATTTGTTGGATTCTCACAATGTGACGGATTTTGTTGGATTTAGACATTTTCCAGGAAAGTGAAGGAAAATGAGAGAAAGTCTGAGAAATTTTTCTCTTTTTTCCTTTTCAGAGGAAGTTGGGGGAGTGCAGTGTGGCTGCAAGTGTGTTTGGAATATATAAAGTCAGTATGAGGATACCGAGGTATGGAAAAGGGTTTGGATTTGGAGATAATTACGAGATTGAGTATGTTGTTTCAGTTGTGATAAAGCCCATGTGATAGACAAACCACTAACGTGGCATTATTTTAGTTTTTTTTTTTTTTTCTTTATTAGAGTTTGAAAAATAATAAATTATATTGAGACCGGTTAAGTATTAATTTGTTAACTGTTTGAATTGTTAAGATTGATTTTTTATGTTCTAAGATAATAATTACAAAATAAATTTGTGATAAAAAATTGAATATATTAAAAAAGAGTATTATATCTTCAAAATTCAAAAAAAAAAAAAATCAGTCATATATCTTCACATTATTCTTCAATTACGTTTAACAAACAATACTAACTGTTGTAATAATTGTTAATTGTTAAGTATTATTGCTTGCTATTTATACAGCGGTTTAAAGCGAAAATATTTTTATAAAAAAAATTGTTTGATAAGTTATTAAATTTAAAATGGTAAAAAAAGAAATGTTAAAAATAATGGTATAAGTGTTAAAAATTAATCCATTAATTATTGTGATATATTAAATGTTAGTTGGATAATAATTAAACGTTTCCTTGACCTCTAAAGCTAGTATTATATACACTACATTATTGAATACTGTAATTAATAAAAATATATTTTTATATAATCACAACGATAAACTATCTTAAAGGTTGTTGCGGAACATGGCTTCATTAACCAGCATCATTTAAAATTTTAAAATACCAACTTTAATTGTTTGTATATGTTTAGAACCAAACATTAATTACTAGTGTGTTGATTAAATTTCAATGTTGTTAAAAGTAAAAATGGAACACCTAGATTGACTAATACATACTCATTAATCTTTATATGCAATTAGGTAAAAATGGTTGTATAAGAGTTTAAAAACAGCGCAATAAATAAATGGTTACTGAACTTAAAAAAAAAAATTTTATGATTCTCTCAATTTTTAAAATGATCTTGTACCCTTCAAATTTTACTTTTTGTATACACTAAATTTTATTATTTATTATAATATTAATTACACACCACACTACAATAAATAATGCATAATGTAATACATGCGTATGACGTAGAAAATTGACATTCCAAATGACAATTAGTTTTACCCGTCAGATTTGTCCATCTCATGCAGAAAAATTAACCCTTCCATCTCATCTCTACCATTCACCTACCTATCTCCCCTGCCATATTTTCACCGCCATCTTCACAGAACAAAGAACAAAAGCCAAGAAACCAGAGAAAGCAGCAAAGGGAGACGAATCCAAAGCCAACCCTTCTAAAGCAGCAAAGGGAGACGAACCTAAAGCCAACCCTTCTTCATTTTACATCGTGCATGATTCACGAGACAGATAAATGAAACTAGACAGGAAAAATCACAAGAAAAATAAGAAATTGATATAAAAAAGAGCAGAGAATATATGGAGAAAGCAACATCGATCGGTAAAGAAAAATGGAGTAAGACCACCAATTTACGCAATCAAGCTCGAGCTTTCGGTCCGCTATAACGACTACTGGAACTTCTTCGATTCCACGTTAAACTCATTCGAGTTATTCCTCAGTCGGCTCTAAGTTGTTAGTCCAATGCATGGATTACAATGTTAGAATTGCTCCGGAGGCCTTCAATGCCATGTCTTTAATAAGCTATAAAAAATAATTTTAAAAAGGAAAAATGATAATTATACCTTGAATTAGGAATCTAAAACAGAGTGAGGGTTCTGAACTTTTGAAAGTACATGAGAAGTGAGAAATTTAATTGCTTGATGATGTTTGGTGTTAGGGGCATTACCAGTGGCACTGTGGCAGACTAATTGGGTTGACTCCGCAGCTCATCACCGAATTGCTTTGACTGACCTATACAAGTCAGCATTTTTCATTTCTGAGAAAGAGATAAAAATGTTTGCTATGGCAGAGTCCATGCCAGACACTTCTTTACCCGTCACTCTTTCCATAGTGCATGCATTCCAATCTGTATTTTTTAGTGTGACAAAATATTTAATTATTACAAAAAGTAAAATTTAAGAGGCCATAAGATTATTTTAAAAGTTGAAAGGACCATAAAGTTTTTTTTGTGAAAATTCAGAGAACAATTTATGTATTCGATTACTTAAAAATCTACAAATTTAGATTTGAGATGATGATAGGAGTTGAATTTTGTGATACTTGATTCAAGTTGCCAAAAGAAAAGAAGCTTATTTTTAAAAAATAAAGAAAGAAATTAATCAAATAAGGTTCGGGTAGATCCGATCAAATTGTCACATATCCATATTTGCTTCATTCTTAAAAAAATAGGACTTTATGTGCTTCATTTAGATTGAATATCCAATAAAGCGGATAATGTGATCATCTTTACCATTGTCTTATTCGATAAAATTAATTATTTTAATACTTATCAATTATTTTACTAGCATTCCATTAAATATTAAAGAAATAATATCTTGTAATTCATTCCCTCAAATTTTAAATACTAATGTAAATATTACATCACTAAATATTATAAATAATAGAATAGTGTTTTAGTCAAAATACTAAATGCACTATGCTATATAAAACATTGTTACCGAATAAACCTAAAAATCCATAAACGTTAAACTCTTACGTCCAAGTTAAATGGCCTAAGAAAAAGTAAGTACAATAATCAAAACAATAAAAAAAATTGTACAAAAAAACTAAAATTTTAGCATTTAAAAAAAAAAGCAATGTAATATAATTTGCTTCTCGCAAAAATATAAATTACAAAAAGACATTACATAGAACTTGTTAAAGTTTTACATCAAATTTCAGTTGAGCAACAAAAAGTTGGTTGAGAAATAAAAAGTGATAAAAGTAATTAACTTGAGCAAGCACCATTTATGAGGCTTGATAATTGTTTTCTTTTCTTTTTTTTTTTTTTTTTTTTACATAGAACTTGTTTAAAGTTTTTAACATCAAATTTCCAGATTGAAGCAACAAAAAGTTGGTTGAGAAATAAAAAGTGGATAAAGAGTAATTAACTTGAGCAAGCACCATTTATGAGGCTTTGATAATTGTTTTCCTTTTCTTTTTTTTTTTTTTTTTTTTTTTTTTTTTTTTTGTTTGTTCACAAACTTTTTATGGAGTACATCAGTACAAATGCATTCTAAAAAGTTTGGAGAGTAAGCAAAGGCATTTTAATCCTATGACTAGTATGATGCTTTTTGCCTGTGTTATTAAACCTGGTTTGAATATTGATCCGTAAAAAAACCGGATAGATAGTTCATTGGTTTAACCAGTGGCTAAATAGTTCAATTAACAGGATAAATAAATATTAATAATATATATTAATTGAACAATTATAATTTAAAATAATTGTAATATAATAAAAATAATTGAAACTATCAAAAATTCAGTTTGATCAATTTAGTTTGTGCGAGTTGACTGGTTCAATCATGAATCAGCCGGTTCAATCTGATTCTCTTCCTTAAATTTGCAAAAGCAAAACCAATCTGATTTTGAGGCCAGTCACTAATTTTCAGGTTGACCTGTCTGGTTGAGCTAGGTTTAATGATTATACTTTTCTTCTCTTGAACTAGAATGATATGATTTGATTAGATTCTACTAGCCTAAATAACTCAACATGATTTCTGACGTAGAACGGTTACGTGAATGGGAATAAACGATTATACTCAGTTAGGAGTTTTGATCAATGATGTTTGATCCGATGAATAAAATAAATAACTAAACTCTCAAAGAAGTTTATTGATAGGAATAATGATCAAAAGATAATGAATGTGCCAATGATACAAAATAACCTATTTATAGATTAGGCTAAAGCATAAACTTCTAAAAAAAATAATACAAAAGTCGTAACTAGACAAAACCCTAGTAAGAATGGCGGCACGGGCATGCTGGACATGGCACGGGCATGTCCTGGGCTTCCAGAGGCTGGCACGGGGCATGCTGGAAGTGACATGGGCATGTCTGTGTGCGAATCGTTGCTGGACCTATCAACACGGGCGTGCACGGGCAGGTTGAAAAGTGACACAGGTGTGTCTGTGCTTCTTAAGCTTGGGCGTGTCTTGCGTCCTAGACTTCCAGAGTCCAGCATGCCCGTGCCCCTTCTTCTTAGGTTTGCAGTGATCCAAATCTTCCATATATTGAAGTGCAAGTTGCTCTGCATCAATCCCCTCCACTTTAAAAGAACTCGACCTCGAGTGATCATCATAGGGATAGCAAGGGAATAAATCAGCAACATTGAAGGTCCTGGAGATCTTCATGTCTTCTTCTATCTTGCACCACGCTCCTTGAGAAGATAAACTATGACCCAATCGCCGACGGTAAAAAATTTATAACGCCGGTGTTTATAAGCTGCAACTTTATATTTTTCATTAGCATCAGTGATGAATTGCTGCACTTGCTTGAATACCTCCACATGCTCGGTAGCCAAGTTATTAGCTGAAACACTCTTCTCTACACCTGCTGGAAGGGAAAGTAGATCACGAGTATGGGCTGGTACCTTCCGGTAGACAATTGCAAAAGGGGACATCTTGGTGTCGCTATGGATCGAACTGTTGTAAGTGGATTCTGCTTGGGCAAGAGTGAGGTCCCACATCTTCTTCTTCTCGCTGCAAAGGGGACATCTTGGTGTCGCTATGGATCGAACTGTTGTAAGTGGATTCTGCTTGGGCAAGAGTGAGGTCCCACATCTTCTTCTTCTCGCTGCAAATGCACCTAAGGAAATTACCAAGGGTCTGGTTCACCACTTCAGTTTGTCCATCAGTTTGTGGGTGTGCAGTACTACTGTAGTGGAGTTAAGTGTTAAACCTCTTCCACAAAGTTGTCCAAAAGTGCACTAGAAACTTTGAGTCTCTGTCAGATGTGATGGTTTTGGGAATGCCATGTAACCGAACAATCTCTTGAAAAAATAATTTTGCTATATGCGAGGCATCATTAGTTTGTTTGTAGGAGATAAAGTGTGCCATCTTGGAGAACCTGTCTACAACAACAAAAATAGAGTCAACTCCGCGTTGAGTTCATGGTAAAACCAACACAAAATCCATGGATAAGTCGTCCTAGGGTTGTTCCGATACAGCTAATGGAGTGTATAGATCGGTATTTTGGGAATGGCCTTTATATCTGGCAAACTGAACATTTCTATACTAGCTTTCTTGCTTCCTTATTCAATTGTGGTGAATAAAATAGAGCCTTTATCCCTGCAATAGTCTTGTCTCGCCCTAGGTGTCCAATCAATCCTCCACTATGGGTTTCTAGGATTAACTTTTCCCGAAGGGAAGATCGAGGGATGCACAGCCTGTTTTCCTTGAATAAATACCCGTCATGAACCAAGAAACTGTTGGTAGGCTATTTAGCATCAGTTTTGCCCATACGTCGGCACAATCTTCATCTGAGGCATACAAATCTTCAAGAAATTCGAACCCCACAATCTCTTGCCTAATTGTAATCAACAAGGCTGCTCACCTACTCAAAGTATCTGCTACTGTGTTACAAGTACCTGATTTGTGCTATCTGCTACTTCTTGTGTACAAGTAACCTGATTTGTGCTTAATGAACATATATGGAAAGCCCATCCAAAATAAGTTGCCCAACACACATGCATCCTGCTGCACGTTTCTTTGAGTTTGAAATTGGAGTTAAGCCTATGATCCAAAATGTAAATAATGAACTCACGCCCAACAAATAATATTCGCAACTCTTGAAAGCCTCAAAAAACTACATATAACTCTTGCTAATAGGTAGTGTAAACAATCCCTTTCCGGTCCATCCCGTGAAACCCGAAATGAACCGAGCCGAGACGCTACAATTTTTGGTGTAACCTATGTCCGTCATGCTGATTATCATTCTTGTATGTTAAAAAATTATGGTCATGTTGTTGCTTTAAAATACATCATTTATATACAGACATTTACTTAATAGTTATAAGACATTACACTAATTTCCCAAAATGAAAAAATGGGCCCAACTATGGTGCCCTTTACATGCCACATGAACCAAAATATCAAAATGAACAGTTTACCCTGAAGACTGGGTCTTTCAAAAGATGAACTGTAGCAGTTGGAAAGAAATGACTCCTCTACAGTCCCAGAACCGCAAAAAACCTGGCGATTTAAAACAGGTAACATCGCTAAGTAATTAAAGCTCAGTGGATATCCTTCAACTTAATAAGAATTAAATAAATAAAGCAATGTATGCACACATTATCAAATTATAAACTCTTTGATACCACTTCTAATTCCATGGTAACAGGTTCAAATTCAGGTTGAAGTTACTCGGGTCTTCAAAAGATGAAACTGTAGCAGTTTGGAAAGATCTCTCTACAGTCCAGACCCAAAACCTGCGATTTAAAACAGGTAACTCGCTGAGTAATTAAAGCTCAGTGGATATCTCAACTTAATAAGAATTAAATAAATAAGTATGTATGCACACATATCATTATAACTCTTAGATACCACTTTCTAATTCCATCGGTAAACATGTTTAAATTCAGGTTGAAGTTACTGGTCAGTTTTCCAACAAACTTGTTTCAGCATGAAATCCATATGCAATTCATTTATTCAATGCCTCTCATGCTTATGAAATTCTCAGACCTATTACTCAACATTCAGCAACACATCTTATCCCTATCATCACACTACACATATTCTCATGCAAGAAAATTTGTTAAACTAAAAGAGATATCAAACCTTCAATCAAAAAGCTTTAAACCTTCTTCTTGGCTTCCTTTTTCTTCTCACTTTGAGCTCACCTCTCCTATACATAAGGACATCTTATTAATCATCCAAAATCTCACTAAATTATGAAATTCAAGAAATTCAACTTACTTGTTCCAAGAAAATTCAACTTAACTTGGATTGAGTTATAGTTGAATTTAGTGCTTGAAAGTTAAATATTTAAGGTAAGAAAATGGAAGGAAGATTTAGGAGAAGATGGAGAAGGTAAAGTGAAGGAAGAAGACAAAGGGAGAAAGAATGGAGAAGGTAAAGTAATGAAATTTTCGGGTAACTTCTAAATATATCTTCCTAGTATGTTAAAAATACCAAATAGTACCTAAAATTTTCAAATATTTTACCATTAATACCTAAACTTTATACTTTATTTTTCAATTAGGGTCCTAACCCTTATACTTTTATATTCAATTGAGTCTAACAATCTTTAAATGTTTTCATTCAATTATAGTCAAATTTCTTTTATTTAATTTAATTTAAAATCCCATTCTACCCCACTCTGGACTCTAAATGGCTCGATTGGGTTCTGGTTCGTTCCGACTCAACTCGACTTGGCTAAATGCATGACTCGATTCAGTAGGAAAATGTCCACAGGTAGACCACCTCTGTCTAGACCACCTCTGTCTAACTTCATTCAATTTCTCACTAAAGAATGCAATAGGCTTTCCAGATTGAGAGAAAACACCACCAATTCCAATCCCACAAGCATCACAATCTACCTCAAACAATTTATCAAAGTCAGGTAAAGTAAGAATAGGGGCGGAAGTAAGCTTATATTTGATCTCTTTAAAGCTTTTATTTGTAGCTTCTGTCCACAAAAATTGATGAACTCTAACCTTCTTCAAACAATCGATGATGGTAGCGATGATGCTGCTAAAGTTCCTGATGAACTGCCTATAGAAAGTAGCGAGACCATGAAAGCTGCTAACTTCAGTGATGTTCTTGGGAATAGGCCAATTTCGAATGGCCTCAATCTTTCTGTCATCAACATAAATTCCTTCCGAGCTAACAATACAGCCAAGAAATAGAATCCGCTCGGTCATAAAACTGCACTTCTTAAGGTTGATCTATAACTCATTTTTCTGTAAAGCATCCAACACCTGTTGAAGGTGCTGAAGGTGTTCTTCCTCACTGCGATTGAAAATTAAAATGTCATCAAAATAAACAACCACAAATTTGCATAAGAAAGGGCGCAAAACCTGAGTCATAAGTTGCATGAATGTGCTTAGTGCATAAGTCAACCCAAACAGCATAACTAACCACTCGTATAACCCCTCCTCAATCTTAAATGCGGTTTTCCATTCATCTCCCTCCTTGATCCTGATTTGATGATACCCGCTGTGGAGATCTATTTTGGAAAATATTATAGACCCTGACAATTGGTCCAATATGTCCTGACCCTGACAATTGGTCCAACATGTCCTCCAAACGAGGAATAGGAAATTGATATTTCACTGTGATCTTATTAACGGCTCTACTATCCACACACATTCTCCAAGTCCCATCCTTCTTTGTTACCAATAAAGCAGGAACCCCACAAGGACTAATGATCTCCCGAATATGTCCCTTCTTTAATAATTCTTCTACCTGTTTTTGAAGGATCTGGCTCTCCTTTGGATTCATCTTATAATGGGGAAGGTTTGGTATCTTCGATCCAGGGATAAAATCAATCTGATGTTGAATGTCCTGCAAAGGTGGAAGTGTAGATGGTTCTTCAACTAAGGCATGAAACTCATCTAGCAACTCCTTGATTAATGGGGGTACCAGTGCCTCTTCATTAGAGCCTGTCTCTGGTTTGATCAACAATGTTAACGCACCTCTGGACTTCTCAATTGCACCAAATAATTCCTACACATTGAAAGAAATAGCTACTATAGATTTCCCCTCCACTTTAGAAGCTTTAGCAGAAGATCCGATTTTCCCCTCCGACTTTTAGAAGCCCTTTAGCAGAAGATCAAAATGGTCAGACAATGGAAATTTTCTTGTTTTTTTCCAAGTGAACAGGTTAATGAATTCTCTCTTCCGGACTTCTCAATTGCACCAAATAATTCCTACACATTGAAAGAAATAGCTACTATAGATTTCCCCTCCACTTTAGAAGCTTTAGCAGAAGATCCAAAAGGTAAGACAATGATTTTCTTGTTTTTCCAAGTGAACAGGTATGAATTCTCTCTTCCCTTATGCAATGCATCCACATCAAACTTCCATGGACGTCCTAACAGTGCTCCACAAGCATCCATATCCACAACATCACAACTAACGGAGTTTGAGTATGACTTTCCCATTGATATAGGAACCTTGCACATCTAGTTTACTTTAATCGATGGACCCTCTTTGATCCACCCTACCTTGTACGGCGAAGGATGTGATTCTATGGGTAAATTTAGCCTTTCAACCGACTGCTTGGCTATCAAATTTTCACAACTATAACTTTTGATAATGAGTCGGCACACCACTTCACCAACTCGACATTTAGCTTGAAAAATTTTTCTTCATTGAGTGTCGCTTTCCTGTTTTGGAAAACACAAAATTTTCTGAACAACATATATAACTTCTCCATCTTTGAAACCAGCCATGGATCCATCATCTTTGTCTTCTACCTCTTCAACCTCAATCACCTCATTAACTACATTCACCTGTCGACGCCCATCATTAGCCCCCCTATGCTCTAGACATATATTAGATGTATGCCCCTATTTTCTACAACGGAAACAACAATATCCAATTGGCTTCTAATATGGATTTGACTTATTGTTTCTATCTGTCATGGAAGCCTTTCCCCGAGAGTCTTTCCTTTCTTCTGTTGTGAACTCTGGCTATTTGCAGGAGTGGCTGCTCTTGAGTTTTGTCCACCGGAATTTCTACTGAACTGCTGATTTTCGGATGAATAGGGTTGCTTGAAATTCTAGTTACAATTAGGTGGTTATCGAGACTGCTAATTAATTCTATCTTTCACACGTTTGGCCATCTCAATTGCATATGCCAAAGTGAAAATCGCAGCTACACCCATCATACACATTATATCATGATTCAATCCCCTCTGATAATGAGCCACCTACTGGGATTTAGTCTCACAATTGTCACATCGAGCCTACAATCTCAAGAATTCTTCCGTATACTCATCTACCTTTTAATTTTCCTAGAAACAGTCATGATACCTATTATACAGGATTTGGGAGTGATCATTAGGGAGAAAACGCTGATCAATCATCTGTTTAAATAAGATCCAATCTTTCACAAGTTCAATCCTCCGACGATGGCGTTCATTTTGAATAGAATGCCACCATACTGTTGCACTGCCTTTTAGTTTATAGGCCACAATGGAAACTTTACATTCATTCTCGACGTTCATGATCTCAAAGAATCGTTCGACCTCTGCTAGCAGTCAAGAGTGTCTAGCGATCTGAGAAGAGTTGAAGGTCTACCTTTATCTTGTATCCTTCATGAACATTGTCACCATTGCCTTTGTAATCCCGGCCTCCATCATAATGATTTTGGCATCTTACATAATCTGGTTGATGCTGATTCGGAACTGTTGTTGTAGCTACAAGTTGTGGGTTGCCTTGTTGGGTTGCAAGAGTCAACTACCTAATATGTTCGATTAGCTCTTTGAACCTCGCCTCGATAGTTGTGAGTCGTGTATCATGATTGTCGGCCATGGAAATACTTCGCATTTCGGCTTTAATACCAACTGATGCAGAACGGTTACGTGAATGCAAATAAACGATTATACTCCGTCAAGAGTTTTGATCAATGACGTTTGATCCAACGAATAAAATAGAGAACTAAACTCTCAAAGAAGTTTATTGATAGGAATAATGATCAAAAGATAATGAATGTGCCAATGATACAAAATAGCTTATTTATAGGTTAGGCTAAAGCATAAAACCCTAAAAAAAAATAATACAAAAGTCGTAACTAGACAAAATCCTAGTAAGGGTGGTAGCACGGGCGTGTCCTGGGCTTTCAAAGGCTGGCAGGGGGCATGCTGGAAGTGACACGGGCGTATCTATGTGCGAATCGTAGTTAGACCTGTCGGCACAGGCATGTTGTACATGGCATGGGCGTGCTCTGGACTCCCAAAGGCTAGCACGGGCGGGTTGAAAAGTAACATAGGCATGTCTGTGCTTCTTAAGCTTGGGTGTGTCCCGTGTCCTGGTCTTTCAGAGGCTGGCATGGGCATACTGGATATGGCACGGCCGTGCCCCTTCTTCTTAGGTTTGCAGCGATCCAAATCTTCCATATATTGAAGTGCAAGTTACTCTGCATCAATTTCAAAATCTTTTAGCAACTTAAATCAATTAGTCTCCACCAACACTAGATCTCTTCCATATCCATCTTTAGATTATAGTTCATTTGAGTTTCAAGTGGGTGAATTTTTCAATATTCCAATCTAAATCGAAATCTGGTACGATTAATTGAATTTTTTTCGCTTTTCTTACAGCTAATTTTTAAGATTATGTTTTAAATTAGTTTCATTTCAAAAGATTCATAAAATTTAATTTGATTGATCTCAAAATATAATTTAATTTGATTGATCTCAAATTGATTTTGATCTATTTCGATATCAAAACCTACTTTAACTACTTTTAATTGGAGTTGCAATCCACCGCCAATATGGAAGTAGATGCTACTACGAATCATTTCTTAAAAAACAAAAAGAAAAAGCATTCTCTTTGTTCCCTTTAAACAGAGAAATTTTCCAATTAGAATGTTTCATTAATATAGATAACTTTACTTTAAAGGAAAACTTTCGAAAGAATGACAGATAAAAAGTTTAAAATGGCCTTATATGAGTTCTGTTATGCACGTGATAAAGTTGAATGAGAAAAGTGACAGACAAAAAAAGGGTTGGCATTTAATGCACTTGCATTTCCAAAGTATGATTGAATGACTAATTTTCTATGTGGTTTTCACAATGTGCTTAACTTTATAGACGTTAGTATGGACATGAGTGGCAATTTGTATAATTTTCATAATATGGAGACAATTAGATGATTGCACCCTAGTTTTTGAAGACAGTTTTATGTTAATATTACACTTTGTGAGTATGTGCATGGATTTTGTTAATTCTGACTAACTGAATGTAATTTTATAATTTAACTAAGCACTGATGAAAATTTCTTATTCATGTTCTTCGAATGAAACGTAGGCCATACATACTTAAATTAACTTCATGGATATGCTAAATATAACCGCAACTTTTTTATAACTAAGTGCATTTAGGTTACCTTATTACAACTCAAAAAGAAACACAGTGCTTAAAGAATCTTTTACATCATCAATTATGTTTCCTTTTTGTTTCTTGCTTTCTTATTGCCTATAACAATATTTTGAGAGTGACTATTTTCAGGAACAACCATAACGCTTTGTTCATCATCAAGTACGAAATTCAAATCTAGTAGTTGGAAAGTTGTATTCATATCTTGAAAATATGTGAGTGAATTTGTTAGAACGTCATTGAGGTTAAATAAAAATGATGGATTCATGATGTAAGAATTATTATTGCCCTTTTTCTATTTCCTTTTTTTTTTGGAAAACCCTATGAAAGCAATTAGATGTTCATGGTCTGTTTCGAATGAACATTTCGTAGAAGTTGAGCAGACAGTGATAATAATAAAATTATATACAAATTGATCAGTTCAATCAGATTCGCTTTCTTAGATGATTAAAAGGTAAAACAATCCGATTATTTTAAATTCAATTCACCAGTTCTTCTGGTTGACCTGTAGCTAAAAATATCAGGGAATATAACTTTGTGTGGACACATATATAAAATTGGTACTTTTTTCAACGTGTTGATGACATGATGAAGCTTTTACATTTCTCGTTATTTAATATTTAACAACAGCACTGGATGCCAAATTTAAGATTACTGAATGCTTAACTATACCTTAAAATAAAATAATACAAATAGTACCTTAATCTATACTTAAATCTAATGTTTTTATCATTTCATTTTCCACTCCCATGATCTCTTGTCTCCCAGTATCTTTTGAACACAGTAATTTCAATTAAAATAGAAAATAATCCAAGATTTAGGGAATATATGCTGGGGCCTGCCTAAGACTGATTAGATGGGGCCAGTTTAGGGTATAAGGGCATTTTAGGGATAAAAAAGTGTGTAGCCAAAGGGAGAGGAAATGATGTTGCCTGTAGCTAAGGCAACATAGGATTTTGTGGTCAAAAAAGTGTCCTAAACAAGTCCTTTCCGTTTAGAAAGAGTACTGCCCCACCCACCACTTCCGTCTTCTTTATTTCCGTTGGGGTACATAACCGAACACACACTTACCTATTGTCTATCAACGGTTGATTCTCTGTATACAAGTGTGTTATTAGATGATCTGATACTCATCATCTTGCAAGTAGATATAAAGCAATTTCCTTTTTCTTTTCATTTTTTAATAAAAAAATAATTTTTATCCATTAATCAAAACAATAATGATAGATAGGGTATCTACACTTAAATTTCATCCATCTATTTTTAAAAAATTATCACATCTCTAAATTTTACTATAAATTCACAGTTAAGTACTGTCTAAAAAGTGAGCATATTTCGTCTAAAAAATGAGTCTATATAATAGTAAACAGTTGATTTTTTGGATAAAAAGACTTGATAGCTAGTAAAAATTAAAGATATCATAGTAATTTCTAAAAAATAAAGCGATGAAAGGATTAATTAAAATATAATTTAAGAATTCAAAAATATTTTTTCCAAATATATATGATGTTCTAATTTAAAAGACAATAAATATTTTAAAAGCAAAATGATGTAAGAGTTTTTTTTTTTTTTTTTTTTTTGAAAGGATTAATTAAAAATAATAATTTAAGAATTCAAAAATATTTTTCGCAAATATATATGAATGTTTCTAATTTAAAAAAGAACAATAAAATATTTTTAAAAGCAAAATGAATGTTAAAGAGTTTTTTTTTTTTTTTTTTTTGAACTAGTAAGGCGTTATTCTTCTATTTTATGGGAATTTGAATAATTAATAATAACAACCCTTGATTATTTTAATTTTCCAGTTTTTAATTGTAACATTTTTTTTTTTTTTTTTTTTGAACTAGTAGGCGTTATTCCTTCTATTTTATGGGAATTGAATAATTAATAATAACACCCTTGATTATTTAATTTTCAGTTTTTAATTGTAACATGTTACACTTAAAATTGTATCACAGTTGGACTTTCATATTTAAATTAGTTAATTATATTATTAAAAACATATCTATTCTGTTTCAGTTTTAACTGGTTTGGTTCTGACTTAATATGGAATCATATGATCCT